ATGAGAAGCAGTTATGACAAAATAGAAAAGGAAATGAACAAGCCCCCAAGTGACTATGCAGGGATAAAGGCACTGGTGGAAGAACATGAAAACAATATAGCAAAAATAAAAAATAATATTAAGAAAAATAAAATGATGTATTAATTACTAAATCCCACAATAAAAAATCTAAAGAAAAAATCTAAATTAAACATATATACCAATGGATAGTATTATTGCTGAATCAAGTGATGAGATGATAAACTCCCTCAACTTCGGTCTGCCCGCAACAAGTCAATATATTACCTCAAGAAAATTTGTTATTTTTTTTCTATCAGGTAGTAGGTAGTAATGTTTATAATCCAAATGCAGGTAACAAAAACATTCGCTTTAATATCAGTGCTGATGACAATAATTATATTGATTTATCTAGTATTAGATTATTTGCAACACTTGAAAACACTGATCTCACAAGAAACCACTTTTTACGACCATTAGGTGGCTTACATGCTTTCATGCAACGGTATAGATGCACTGTAGGAGGGCAACAAGTTCAAGACATCACTGAATACAACCGCCACTGTGAATTGTATGACTGCTTTAAACCTAAAGATGTTAGAGACATGGATGATATTGAAAGTTCTGCTAATCCACGATGGGATGCTGATTATCATGACTATGCTAATGGTTTAGATGTATTAATACAGGCTACTACCACTGGCGCTACTTCTGGGGCTGGTGTTGTAACGGTTAAAACTGATGGAGACCACAATGAGTGGGGCAGAATTGATAAGAGATATACAAGACATTCATTGTGTGGTATTCCCGGTGCCAATGGAAAAGCACGATTTAGCCATAAACCATGCTGTGGATTGCTTCAATCTAACTATTATTTACCTTTGCGGTATGCTCCTTTAGAATTGGAGTTTACTATAGTCAATGACCAAAACCTACCAGTAACAGTTCCATTTGGAACAGGAACAGGAACACAAACAGATAAGGAAGGTTATTATTTTACTGCTGGTAATACATCTACATCATGGGAATTGAATAATGTCATCATCCGTGCAGAAATGATTACATTAGACAACACAGTCAATAATAATATTGTTCAACACTTATTGCAGGGTCAGTCATTAAAATTAATTTTCCCTATGTATCATACTATCACGCAAACATTCCCTACCGGAACTGAGGAAGTTAATATGAATATTGTTAAATCATCTTCTAAACTGAATGGTGCCTTCATTACCTTATTTAGAACTCCAAGA